TGCTGACGCCCCCGACCCCGCCGCCTCCTTCGCTCGGCTCCGGAGGCGCCCGACGTCGCACCAGCTCCGGGAGTGAGAGCCGCGACAGGCGACCGGACCCCCGAGGCCCCGAGCTCAGGACAGGTGAGCGGGAAGGAAAGGGTGCTGCCGGCGGTGGGGAGGTGGGTGGGCAGTCAGTGCAGCTGAAACGGGGCGCTGCTTTATTCCCCCTCCCCCGCCCCGCTTGGGACCCCGGAGTTACGGTAAACACTGTCTCCTGAAGTTTGCGAAATAAACCAAGCCCGCCGTCAGTTCCGGACTCCCCAGTCCTCAGAGCGCAAGAGGAGCCGTGCGGGGCAGCCTCCCAGAACCCGGAGCCTTGGAGCGCCTGGCTGGGTTTCTCCAAGCTACACCCTCCTTTGTCTCCGTTCCAGAGACTCAGCATTCTCTGTAAAGATGTCCACAGCGTAATTTATAGTAGTCCTTGGCAAGAGCAAAGTGTGGTCAGGGTTTCCTAAAGCAATATCTGTATGTGGTAGTATCTCCGTAGGCGAAATGGAGACGCGAAGCAATTGTCTGCCAAGTCAGCACTATTCTTCTCCCTATGGAGTCTGTCCTTAAGAGAAAGGGCTGAGGGTTTGAAAGATTTTCTCCATTAATCATTCTTTTGCTGTAATTAATTGCCCAGGCCAGCATTTCACATGTTGTAGGTACAAGCTCTCTGTGTGTATTTACGGCCGCTAGATTTCGACTGAGAAGTATGCATATGTGTGTGTGAGGTGATATTTGTAATAAGAACAGTTCACTATCTCAGTACCAGTTTCAGGCGTTGGTAATGCCAGATAGTCACATGCTTGACATTTATGTAATTTACTCATTGAAGTCAGACCAAGTACACCTTAGTCTGGTGTTGGACTAAGTATGTTGGGCTAAAGTGTCTCTTACCCATATTTTTCTCCTAAAGACCTTCAGAAGTACTTGTGGACAACTGTATATACAGAAAACATTTCAAGAATCACGACTATTCTTATTTGTCAGTAAGAATATTGAACTTTTAGGTTTTGCTGTCAAACCGAGTTCTGAGACACACTTTCTGTGGTGCTTTATGAATAAATTATTACCAGCTCCTATGAAAGCTGTTTACTTTGCTGGTTTGTCATGTCTCGCATTATGGAAACACTTATAAAATAACCTTCAAGTTTGTTATTTGGCTACTGATACTAGAATATATTACCACTTTGTAAAAAGTAGGCTAAATTTCGAAACTTCTCAAATCTTACTTTATTTTTCCACTACTTTTTCTCCATACAGAAGCATCTGCTTTAGTTTCATTCTTTTCAAACAGCTTAAGTGAAGAATAGGCATTCTTCTTAACAGAAAGCAATGTCTGTATTAAGTAGAAACTATAGTTAAATGCTTTAGTAAAGTAATGTTATGAGATATTTTTCACTCAAAATATATATACTGAAGGGTTAGGAATGATTTTCTCTAATGAAGTCCTACTACAGAGCTCATAATTGTGAGATGATTTAGGTATAATTTGTAACCCTGGTTATAATTAGCTTTGTATCCTAGGCTGGGGAATCTTTCAGTGAAAGAGTTGTGTGGGGAGCTTCTGTATGCAATTTCCAGGCAGCTGGCACATAGAGATTTACCTGCTGCTTCTGAGTCAGGTCCAGAGAAACACAGTAGTATTCCAAAGGCAGCCATAAGCAGAATGGATTCTTCAGGAAAGATCATTGTAAAGAATGATGACTGCACTTGTATTCCAACTTGGAGGAATTATTAGTGAAGCTTTTGAATCTTCCCAGAGTTAGATCGCTATACTTGGACTTTTGTAGTTTCAGAATTTTGACAACAGCTCATTGGACGGAGGAAGATAACTACTGGACATACAGGGGGAGTGGATTTGAACGGTTTGTTTAAATTCTCTTATTCCCATGATAATTCTCAGCATAAAGGAAAAGAAATTCATTTTAATTTAGGAAAATAGATAAGAGCAAAAATAAAAGCAGATGTCACTTTTTACATTTCATTTTTTTTTTTTTTTTTTTGCGGTATGTGGGCCTCTCACTGTTGTGGTCTCTCCCGTTGCGGAGCACAGGCTCCGGATGCCCAGGCTCAGCAGCCATGGCTCACGGGCCCACCCGCTTCGCGGCATGTGGGATCTTCCCGGACCGGGGCACGAACCCGTGTCCCCTGCATCGGCAGGCGGACTCTCAACCACTGCGCCACCAGGGAAGTCTTTTTACATTTCTTAAACAAAATTAGTAGAAGATAAAATAGTCTTCATGGAAATGCATATTACTCATCAATAGAATGTACAGTCTAAAAGAGGAGGCAGTTTTAAAATAAATTTCATTTAGTGTTGCTCTCCCTAAATGAGAGACTGCATGGGGAGTTCGGTCAAGCAGAACACATCTGCAAAAAGAACTTGTGTAGAGATGGAAAAAACAAATCTGCAGTGAGATGGACCCCTCATTTTATGATGGAAGATATGATTTGCAGTTTTATCAAGTGTATTCATTTCAGGACTTAAGATATGTTTTGTCTGCTAAGGTCTGATATGTGCCCAAGCATTCAGAAAACATGGGTGAACCCTTGTTATGGTGCCAGGCTTGCTGAAGGACAGCAAAGTAGCCTCTCCTATGGGAGCTTACAGGCTGGCAGGGAGGGGACTGGAAAATGTGCCATAGATTGCTGAGCACCTGGAGTAGTCCTTGAGCATCAGGGGACTGGTTCATATTGGGGAGCAGGATGGTGGATTTCCAAGGACACTGGATGGGAAGTTGGAAAAGCCAAGTTGTTGTCCTGGCTGAGACACTAATGATGTGGCCCTGGGTATGTTTCTAGGCTTTTCTGAGCCTCTCTGCTTTCATCGACAGACCAAGGACTTTGGACTGTGATCTTCTCATCCTCTTTTTAAAATGCTGCATTATGAGGAGAAATCAGGATGAGGTGTGGGTGGTGGTGGGGTGGGTGAGTAGAGTTTGGGTTGGGGAAAGACAGACTGGAGAAGACAGGCTGTGCTGGACACAGGGAAAGAATAGTGACCATGATAATAGAAGGTCAAGGAGATCCAACCTGGGGCATCTGGCCCATCGTTGATTATATGAGTTTAAAATACATAACAGGGGCTTCCCTGGTGGCGCAGTGGTTGGGAGTCCGCCTGCCGATGCAGGGGACACGGGTTCGTGCCCCGGTCTGGGAAGATCCCACATGCCGCAGAGCAGCTGGGCCCGTGAGCCATGGCCGCTGAGCCTGCGCGTCCGGAGCCTGTGCTCCGCAATGGGAGAGGTCACAGCAGTAAGAAGCCTGCGTACCACAAAAAAAAAAAAAACATAAAAAAGTAATAAATAGCAACATTCACTTAGTACTTGATGGTTTTCGATGAATTTTCACACATAATGCCAATCGATTTTCATTACAACCACAAGAGTTTATTCAGGCAGAAAGGTGATGAAACCAGGACTAATTTCTCAAAGCACGTTTGCACCAGTACACTCCATTGCCTTTCTGTAGAAACAGGAAAAGCTAGAACACACTTTGGAAACCCTGTGTAAATGGGAGAGAGATATAAGGGTGGCATCAGATTTTAGTGGAGTTTCAAATTTCTGAGTAAAAAATTAGGTTACATTCTGGAAGATAAGAATCTCCAGTTGTGAGATCAAGACCTGACACATCTGGAATTCTGATTGTTAATCTTTAGTTTGATCACTCCTGTTCTGGGCTTCCTCCTGATCTCATCTCCCGCCCCAGCCCCAGCAGGAGTTCTGGTGATTTGATTATTACAGTCATTGATAAGACTTTTCCAAGAGTTTTGAGTGCAATTGGAAAAAGGAAATTTTCATATAAAGGTGGGGATTCTTGGACCAATGTACTGTTAATTAATGGGATATGTTCCAATAGCAAATTGTGCTTTGGAAACTGTCACCAGAGGTGAAATTACACAAAATTCATGGGAATGTGAGCAAAGTGTGAAGAGGTGGATGTGTGCATTCCTTCCTACAGTGTCCTTGTCACTCTGCTCCAAGCACTAAAGGGGTGTCAAGTGCACTAAAGGGGGTCAAGTCCCCTCCCCCTCCCCCTGTGTTCCTGTGGAAGGGAGCTGATCAGGATTCATCTGGTTATACACCCGAGGGACCTACATTTAACTGCTTTAGGCAGAAAAAATAGATTTATTGGCTCACGTGACTGGAAAGTCCAAACGTGGACTTTGCTTTAGTCATGGCTGGAACCCAGAGCCTCACATGACTTTGTTAAGGTTCTTTCTGTCTCTCCCCATTTCTCAGCTTCTCTTCTTTCTGAATCAACTTCATTCTGAGGCCTCTTTCTACGTGCTAAGAAAGGTGACCATTGGTAGTTCCAAACCTGCATCCTTGGGCTTTTGATCCATAGGAAAGAGAGGTCTTCTCTCTTCCAGGTCCCATTTATAGAAATCTCCTGCAAGGGCTATGGTTGGCCCTGCTATGGAGGTCATTGAATCAGTCTCTGCGTCCAGCAGAGAGTGCTACTGTGATAGTTTTGGACTGGATCATGTGCCCAACCCTGTATATATGTGATGCTAGTGGTGGGATGGGGAAAAGGAGACCGGTAGAGGCACCATGATTGACATGATCTTCTGTTAAGATCATATAGATCTCCCAAGACAATGAGGCTGCCAATCAAAACCAACATGTCTATTATTGCGGAGAATTGCCCCCTCCATTTTGAGACAGCCACTTGCACGACGATGTGAAGTTTGCACATGGAAGCAACTCAGGTGACCACGGCCATGCAAATTCCAGAAGTGGGACCTTCCTCCCAGCCAAGGCAAAGCTAGGTGATGAATTAATTCCCTCCATGTCTAGACTTTGCTAAGAGGATCCAGAATATTATTGAAGGAGGAGCCCACCATTTATCCATGTCCATGTGCTTTTAGCAAATACCCCTGTGCCTTATTTCCAGTCTAGGGATTTTATTTCCAGAAGGCCTGGTCTTCTAGGGATCATTTGATTAGAGACCCCTACTTTGGGCATTATGAGATTAGAGACCCAGTGACACAGTGACAGTTTGAACAAGGAAGTAAGGTGATGAACACAGAACTATTGTTTATACAAGTTTATTGAGTTTGTGGGAAATGGGCAGAGGGGAGGCAGCAGGCA